GCATATAGCTGTGGGAAAGGAGATACACTCTTTAAGAGATGTAGTGCAGCTACTATGCCAAGAAACCTCCTATGGAGCAACCAAAAGGCCCTTGAGAGCAAAGAAGGAGTTCAAGAATAAAGCGAAGATGCGATACTTCTATTGTTGTGGGCAAGGCCACTACAAAAGGGAATGCAAGATCTTCCAAAAGGATGAGGAGGAGAGGAATGTTTCATCTACCTCAAGTATCTTCATTAACACTTGTGTATAAAGCTATTCATAGTTATCGGATACCATGTTTAACTCACTTTATGCTCCCATTTTCAGGGACCAAGTGAGAAGGCTTCACAAGTGGATGTGCAACTACGAGCGGACAATAAAGATGGTCTTCTGTTGTGCTTGTAGGCACATTATTTGTCTTTGGCTTGTGATTAAATTAATTCATGTTTATCATGCCTTTGAACATGTTTTGATCTATGGCGTTGGACACTGGGTTATTTGATCACCAGACTATAACAATGGTTGTTTTTCGAATGTCTTGCTTATATGTTCTATGAAAATTGCATATTTCACATATGATTAGACAAATGTTAATGATACCACCAAAAGAGCTAAGACCATTGAGTCGAATGAAACCTACTTGTGGCACTGTCATCTTGGCCACATTAACATCAAACGCATCAAGAAACTTCTCCATGAAGGTATTCTTGACTCATTCGACTTATAGTCGTTTGAAAATTGTGAAGGATGTCTATTAGACAAGATGATAAAGCAACCATTCTCCAAGTTAGGAGAAAGGGCTAGTGACTTATTGGGTCTAATACATACGGATGTATGTGGACCAATGAGTACACCCGCAAGGCAAGGTTATCGATATTTCATCACCTTCACCGACGACTATACACTAGTAGAAAAAATGAAATAGACACCGCACTTTTTGCACCGGTTCTTGAAAACCAGTGGGAAAAGAATTGGGCGGGATTGGGAAAAAGACTTTTCGCAACGGTTCCTAATAAACCGGTGCGAAATCATCTTTTTCGCACCGGTTTGAACCGGTGCGAATTAAAAAAGAGAAAAAAATAAAAAAGAAGAAAAGGATTTCGCATCGGTTCAGACCAAATCGGTGCGAAATAGTGATTTAGCACCGGTTCAAACCGGTGCGAAATTAAAAAAAAAAAAACCGGGCTCGGGTATTTCTTCTTCTTCCTTTCTTTCTCCCCCTGCTTTTCTATCTTCTTTTTTCCCTCGTTCTCGCCTTCTCTTCCACTACCTCCGAATTCCCACCTTCTCCATTGAAGCCGTTTATGAGCTTTTTCACTCCATTGAAGCATCTGCTCCTCCTTCTCTCTCCATATCTCTCCTCCATTTCACTCGTGCTCTTTATTCTCCATTGAAGCAGCTTCGAGGTAATATTTTTGTTGTGGTCTTCTTAATCTACCGAATTCCTTCACAATCTTGGGTTGGTCATTGATTTGGTTTTCAATTTCGTAATTTTAGGGTTCTGGTTTTATTTCTATTTTTTGTCGAACAAAATAAGTAGGAGAAGGAGAGAGTAGGTCCTACCCGCCGCCACTCACCCTTCGCCGGCCACCCTCCGTTCCCGTCAGCCGTCCTTCGTGCGTCGGCCACCGACCACCAGGTAATGGTTTTTCCTTTTTTTTCGTTTTTAAAAAAACATTGCTAACCCTAACCCTTAATTGCTCAACCGCTTAGATCCACTGCCTCAGACCACCCACCCGTCGGCCACCCAACGACTTAGACCACCCACTGACTAGAAGGTATGCCTTCCACCTTTTTATTTTTTATTTTTTTTATTTAGTTTCAATTAATTAACCATAAACCCTAAGTTTTTTAATTTTAATATTTTTTATTCGATCATTTGTAGGAATTGTAGATTTAGTTTGTTTGCTCCTCAAAAAAAGTTCAAATTCAAAGGTTAGTGGCTATTTTTTCCAATGCTTTTATAGTTTTATATATGTGTTAGTTATTAGTAGCAAAAATGGTACAAAATGATCTTATTTTTGGTGTGTTTTGGGGATGAAACTATAGTATTCCATAGAAGTTCATTATAACATCAAATCTCGTTCAAAAAAAGTTTGTGATTTGGTTGTTATTTTGATTCCCTGTATTAGCTGTTGCTTGAGTTTGTTAAGCTTAATTGCCGTATTAAATAGTGCTAATGGGATAGGGGGAGAGTATATATCCAGAATTTGTTGTTGAAGTGAGTTGTGGAGAGAACCTTCCTCTCGAAAGAAGGCCCCTGTATTGTGATTACTCTAGTTGCAATACACTTATCCCTTAGCTGCTATCTTCTATTTCTGTTGTGTTTGCTTGCATACCCTGTTTTCATATCCAAATCCTAGCATATTGCAACTGTATGCTTGTTTTGATGCTCTTTGACGTTAAAGTGTTGAATAATCCTGCCGCTTTTGAGTGAAAAGGTTGTAGGGTGTAATGGACTGGATTTTCTGGGTTTCTAATTATGATTTAATAATGCAAGTAAATAAAGATTAAAGCTCGAATTTTAATTGATAACAGCTTAAAGGTTACAAAAGGATAGGTTAATAGCTTTAGGCTATCATTCTCAAAATAGCTTTAGGCCATGACTCTCTAAGGTTTCCCTTCAACAATCCTCTTATGAGGGATTGAGGATGATGTAATGATTCAAACTCTGATGCTGATAATCTGATATGGGTTTTCTTAATTGTCCTTGAAATAAAGTTTCTGTTTGAAAATTGAAATTGTGCATCTACAAATATTAATTTGGCAGATTTGCTTTTATGTTATAATCAATATCTGCCGTGCTATGTTTTTACATGCCAAGAAGTAAAACTTAGTCATTGATTACATAACTAGAGGGTAATTTTATCAAAGTTATCATAGGTCTTGTGTTATTACATTTCTTTTATCCATTTACTAAAATATTAAATTTAATTTTCTTTCAGTGAATGGATATATCATGAATAGACCATCTGTGTTTGCGGGAAACGTTCCGCAAGCAACTGTCAAAATTGTAAGCCTTCTGTATTCTGCCTTATGTGTCTGACTTGTCAACTGTTTTATTTATTTATTTGTTTTTATTTTTGTTGTTGAACCTGTTATCATTAATGCTATTTCAGGAGCCAAGTACAGTGACATCCATGGCATCAGGATCTGCTATACCTTATATGCCTTCCATTCCTCGTGCTGCTGCATAAAGTGTTCCTAGCTTACAGGCATCTTCGCCTCCTTCTGTGTCACAGGAGCCGACTACAACTAATAAAAATGTTCCAGATCTAAAGCCAATTATTAGCAGTTGCATTTCTCAGCCTGTGCGTCCTGTGGGTGCCATACTAAACAATATCTCTCGAGCACGAGTAGCCCTTGCTGGAGGAACTTCTCTAGGGTTGCCTTCAATGGGTGGGAACACTATTGGTATGCACATGTCAAACATGATATCTAATGGTATGACATCGAATGTGCCACCTTCTCAAGCTGTATTGTCTTCTAGAAAGTCTGGCTTCTCTACTATAACTGGGTCGGGAAGCATTGCAGGAGCTTCTCAGCCTTTACAGAACTCAGCCCTCAGTTCATTTTCTACTGCAACTTCAAATGTCTCTGGAAATTCTAACCTAGGCATTTCTCAGCCATTGACTAATCTCCAAGGAAATGTAAGTAATACGATGGGCCAACCTATATCTGGGATTGGTCAGGGAAATATTTCGGCTATGGCACATAGTGGGACTAATATGAATCCAAACATGATGTCGAATCTTGGTTTAACTGGTGCACCTTCCGGTACTGGCTCTATGATGCCAACTCCAGGAATGCCTCAACAGTTACAGCCGGGAATGCAACCTATTGGAGTTAACAATTCAGCAGCTAATATGCCGATGTCTCAACAAGCTACGTCTTCTTTACAGTCTTCACAATCCAAATATGTTAAAGTTTGGGAGGTAAATATCAGTGTGCTTACTTTTTTTTGTTTTGTGTGTGTGTGTGTGTGTGTGTGTTTGTGTGTCTTAGTGGCCTCTCATTTTATTGTAAATCTTCATATTATTACATATCTAGGGTGTTTGAACATATTCAACAGTGTTAATGGAGAAATGAGGTTCTCAAAATTTTACTTTTTAGCCATATATATTGCTAGATGAAAGCCAGAAGCACTTTTAAAAGTTGAAGCGCAAATTTGCTTTACTGTTTTTAATTTTTTTTCTTTTTTAGCTCAATGTTTTTTAAATGATTCTTTTTGACATGCTTCAACATAAACAGCCCTGTTGATTATTGCCAGAATGTGTTGGGTGCTGATTAGAGACCATGAGAACATGTTTAGTATTGCTTTAGGGAAACAGAAGAATTTGTAGTGGCTTATGCCTTGTGGTCAAGTTTTTTCTTGGACATTTGTGTTTGAAATACTCTTTTAGAGTTTTAGGCCAGTAAGGCATAAGCTTGATAGTGCTTGACTTAAATATTCAATAGGCACTGGGTAGTTAAGGGTAAATATTTGTACATATGAACCTCTTGATACCTCAGCAGCTCAGTGGATTCATACTGAGAGGTTTCTTTGTTCAATTTCTTAATATTATTTTTGTGTGTATTTCAATCAGTGTCTTACCGTCTTTGAGGAGATGAGCCCTCTCTCTCTGCATGGTAGTATTATTTCTGAATTTTGTTATTGACAATTATAGGGAAACTTATCCGGACAGAGACAGGGACAACCTGTATTTATTACTAGATTAGAGGTACTTTTTAAAATATGTATTTCAAGTTTATTAGTTCTTAATTAAGATCAATAATGTTGTTTACTTTAAATATTAGATAAAGTAATAAATAACACCTGGAAGCTTTTTAATATAATTGTTATCCTTGATGCAGGGGTACATGAATGCATCAGCCTCAGAGACGTAAGTAGATCTGTTTCCTTGTGTTATTAATCTTTGTTTGTCTTGGCTGCTCATTTATGTGCTTGACGCTCCCTTGAAAATTGCTACATTATTAAAGTTCATGTAGCTGCTTAGCTGTGTTATGCTGCTATTCTGAGTTCAAATTCTTGGATATTTAGTAAGTAGATGTTGATGCGCAGCTGAGTTATGCCACTCTGTTGTATGATGGTTTTTTTTATTCTTTTTGGCGGTGATTCTTTTTGTGCGAAAGTGGTGCATTAGAAATTTAGAATGTATGCTTGACAAGCTTGTGGATTGTTTGCTCAAAAGTGCAGGGAACCAAAAGTACAGGGGCTTGCACTGTTGGATAGTTAACTTCATGGAGGAGAGAGGCACCCCAAGATACTTAAAAGGGAGAGAACCTGCAGTCATACCCAAACAGTCAAGGAAATCCTTCTGTAATTCAGTAGTTATACCCCCAAAATACACCTCACTTTTACTAAGGTTAGCCACAAGGCCAGAAGCTTTAGAGAATTTCTGAAAAGCTTGAAACAGTAACTTAATAGAACATTCATCAGCTCTAGAAAATAATAGGAGATCATCAACAAACATCAAATGAGTGAGCAGAAGCTTCTCACATCTAGGATGAAAGTTGAAGTTAGGAATTTTAGCAAGATCATGCAAGCACCTGGACAGGTATTCCATCCTAATAGCAAAAAGGAAAGGGGACATAGGGTCACCTTGCCTAAGCCCTTTCTTAGCTTTGAAAGGAGCAGTTGGAGAGCCATTAATCAAGATAGAGAAAGAAATAGAAGAAATGCACTCCATGATCCAATTAATAAACACAGTAGGAAAGCCAAGCTCACACATGACTGACCTAAGAAAGCTCCATTCAATGGAGTCATAGGCTTTCTTCAGGTCAACCTTGATCATACACCTTGGAGTAATATGCCTGTGATTATAGCCTTTAATTAGCTCAGTAGCCAAAAGAATATTATCCCCAATATGCTTACCAGGGATGAAACCAGCTTGAGCTTCATCAACAACCTCACCAATAACCCGAGCAATTCTAGCAGTTAAGACCTTAGAAATGGTCTTATATAAAACAGTACAACAAGCAATTGGCCTGAAATCCTTCACAAAAGAAGGGTTTTGAACTTTAGGCACTAAAGTCAAAGTTGTGCAATTCCACTGAGGGTATAAAGAGCCCTTATCAAAGAACTCATGAACAGCTTCATACACCTCAAACTTGACTATATCCCAACTATGCTTGAAGAATCTGGAATTAAAACCATCTACCCCAGGCGCTTTGTCATCAGAGATGCCATTGATTGCAGAATCAATCTCAGCATCAGTCACAGGACTAATCAGCAAGTTTTGAGCCTCTCTAGTAAGCTGTCTACCAGCTCTCACAGTAACTAAGTCAAGAGCTTCAAGGTTTTGGAGAGCTTGAACCCATAAGAAGCTTATAGAAATTGACAATCTCTGTCTCAATGTCAGCAGGAGTTTTAAGCAAAACCTGCTGTTTAGTCATGATGGAGTCAATTCTGTTTCTAGCCTGTCTCTGTTTCATCATGGAGAAGAAATATCTTGAATTTGAGTCACCAAGCTTAATCCATTCTACTCTAGCCTTTTGCTTGTAAATGCTTTCTTGAATAGACCTCCAGTATTTAAGCTGCTGAATGGCAGCAGTCCCTGAGCTAACAGATCAGAGGACTGAAAATCAGTATTTAATTGAGTTTGAATATCAAGAACAACCTGTTGAGCTAAGTCAACCCTCAGATCAATATTGCTAAAATGTTTGGCATTGAGATCTTTGAGCTTAGCCTTCAAACTCTTAAGCTTCATCCAGATCCTACACATAGAATTACCTTGAGCCCCTACATTCCAAGCTCATGCACAGTATTAAAAAAATTCGGATGAGAAATCAAATGATTAAGAAACCTAAATGGCTTCCTCTTACCCACATCAGGAGGGAGAATCTCATAAAAAAGGGGGGCATGATCAGAGAGGGAGGGAGGAAGGTAAACAGCCTCAACATTTGGGAATTGATGCAACCACTCAAAGTTGACCAGCCCTCTATCTATTCTAGTCTGAGTTCTGGGGCCAATATGAGCTTTATTAGACCAGGAAAAAAAAGACCCCTTACTTTTGATCTCAACAAAATTCAATTGATCAATAAAATCTCTGAAATCCCTGACTTCATAATCTGTAATCTCAGAGCCATTAATTCTATCAGCATGGTGTAAAACAGAATTGAAGTCACCAGTACAAAGCCAAGGAATAGTCACAAGTCCAACAGCCCTAATGCCTCTCCACAGTTCCTTTCTATCATGAATAGTGTGTAACCCATAAACAAAAGACACAGCAACCTGACTACTATAATCAAGGTTACTAACAATACAGTGAATAAATTGAGGGTGTATAGTGATTACCTCAACATGCACCCTGTCACTTCTCCAACCAAGCCAAATCCTACCGTTACCAGAAACAGAATAATTACATACCCAATTCAGGCCATGAGCAATCTTTTTCTGGATTATACAACACTTTTCTTGTTTAACTTTAGTTTCCAGCAGACAAAGAACTTTAATAGCAGTTCTATCAAGTAGCTGTTTTACATCAGCCACTTTACAGGGGTCATTAAGACCCCTAATATTCCATACTGTAAGAATCATTGCTGTTTAGGGGGCCCACCTCCGCTAGGTTCATTGTCCTGTTCCTTAGACTTACCAGCATCATCAGGTAAAGCATCAAACTTATTAGCTGTTGATACTGTATGAGCAGACACAACAGGCTCCTTCCCTTTCTTCCTCATAATTTCCCAATTACCAATACTAGAACTAGTATTCTTGGTAGGAACACCTGACCCTTGCTTCACTTTCTACACCCAGGTTTTCTGATTTTGGACCTTAGGAGCAGGTTGGCCTTAACTAGCTTTGAAATCATCACAAATGTGGCCCACCTTATTACACTTAGCACAGAAGGGAGGGGTCCATTCATATATAACAGCCAGTTCCACTACCTCCCCTTTAGGGCTTTCCACCCAGACATTCTTTGATAAAGGCTTGGTGATGTCTATCTCAACAAGTAACCTTGCATAAGAAACTCTCAATTGTCTTGAGGTACACTCATCAGCACATATTGGTACACCAAGGGTACTTCCTATCCTGCTCAATGTTTCAGCACCTCAACAGTTCAATGGCAGTTTAGGCAATTTAATCCATAAAGGAATTGTGCGCAGAATTTCAGCACTAAAGTCAAATTTCTCTGACCATGGTTTGACTATAGCAGGTTTTCCATTAAACATGTGAGGTCCACCACATAACACTGAATTTGAATTATCTAAGCATCATAAATTAATTATAAAATATCCCTCATCATGCCAAAAAACATCTGGGTTATTATCAATCCCCCATTCATTCAGAATGTAACGCTTAATTACTGCAATTGTAGGGTTAAATCCAACTACATATAAAACTATTGCATAACTCCATTTCCTATTTCCTGCTTCAATTTCATCAGCATAAAGAACAGCAATAGGCTTACCATTCTTAATTTGTAGTGGGACAAAGTTCAGAGACAACTGTTGAGTCCCTTAGGTTTTGATTGATAGTTTTGAATGATGACAAACAGCTAAGGGAAACAGGTCTTTGAAAGTGTTCAATACAGTTGGGGGAACCAACTAAAATAGAACATTGTTTTCCTAGATAAGTTATTGATTATATGAGTTATCTATTGAACTAACTTATCTATATACAGGAAACAGTTAGATGATAAATGTGCTATGTACTGGTGGGGAACCAGTATGAACCGTTTCCTTGACTGCTATGCGGAAAAGCAGTCACATACTCTTTATTGTGCATTAACCATGTTACATGTGCAGTAGTTGAGTTGATTCCAAGACTTGGAGCATAGAAGCCTTTCGAAGATATTTCGAAGAAAGATTGTTTGCTCATAATAGAAGTATTCAAGGAAGATTCAAGTCTTGAAGATTACATGAAGAAAAGACGATTTATGCTTTAATATGTTATCTAGGTTTTCATGTAATATGCTCCGTAGTATGCTTGCATGTTTGGGTTATTTAAGTGCTTAAAAGTATATTGAAGTATGATATGAAATCTGGTACAAAGTTGGAACAGGTTTCATAACATGTTTCAATTCAGGGAACCAGGTTCACTGTACGAAATATTCGAGCTGCCGTTTTGGAAAAAGATTTTACAAAAAGATTTTTTCGAAAAGATTATTTTGAAAATATTTTGTGCAGCTGGAAATAAGATGAAATATTCTTGGTTACCTAAAAACTAGGAGTATTTATCTTAATTGATTCTATCTTTGTGATTAAATCAAATAAGATAAATACTTTCCTAAAATTACAATATATCTTATTCTCTAAGATTGTGTGATTTAAGGAAACTAGGTTTTAGGAATCTAAGCTTATATAAACTCATCTTATTTCACATATTTCGTGTGCCTCTCCAGAAATTAAAAAGAGCAATTATTTGAGAGCATATACTTAAGCACTAATCCCATTCATCAAGTCATATACAAGAGCATTCTAGTACAAAAACATTTTCTCTTAATTAGCTTCGTAGAAGTGAGATCAAAGGAGAGTTCTTGATTCTTGTATTGAGTCTTTAACAAAGGGGTTAAAGGCTGGGTGAGTGTTTGTGAGTTCAAACACGTTTAGAACTTACGAGTGTAAGTTGAGAGCATACTCGGAGTAGAGTGTGGGGATTGCTGGTTCCCGGAGTAGGGAACAGCAGAGTGTTCTTTGTCTTTGTTATTCGGAGTAGATTAATAAAGGACTTAGGATAGGAGGACGTAGGCCAGAGTTGGCTGAACCTCGTTAAATTTGTTGTGTTCTTTATTGCTTTATTATATTCCGCTGCATAAGGGAACCAACACAACTGGTCCCTTAACCATAATTCGAAAAGAAGCAAAAATTGCCAACGATTACTTAACACTCAATTCACCCCCCCCTCTTGAGTGCCCATAGAACCTTCAATTGGTATCAGAGCCTAAGCTTCTCGAAAGAGTAACATCTAGAGGAGTTAAGAATGAGTACTCAAGAATTAAGTGCAATCGGTTATGACAACAAGTCACCCAAGTTTAATGGAAATAATTATGCTTGGTGGAAGAACAGGATCCAGAATGTTATCATGGGTATTGATTATGAATGCTGGCTCGTAGTTAAAAATGGTCCTAATATCATTCTCAAGACAGATGTTGAGGGGAACCAGGTTCCCAAGAAAGATAGCGAATTGGCCACTGCTGATTACAAGTTGCTGGAGAAGAATGCTAAGGCAATGTCAATACTACAACAAGCAATAGGTGAGACCGAAACAAATCGTATATCTGGCTGCAGTAGTGCTAAGGAGATATGGGACACCCTTGAACTTGCGTTTGAGGGAACCAGTGAGGTAAAACGGTCTAAAATTGATTTAATCATGTCTAAATATGAATTGTTTGCCATGAATAAAAATGAAAAAATCAATGATTGCTTTCGTAGGTTTATGACTATTGTAAATGATCTTAGATCTCTTGGTAAAACTTTATCTGACGAGGATCTTGTGAGAAAATTATTGCGTAGTTTAACAGATGCATGGACAGCCAAGGTAACAGCAGTATACGAAGCAAAGGATCTGTCTACCTTGTCTCTGGAACAGCTGATTGGTTCCCTTATGACTCATGAGATGCTGATTGACTCTAAGTCTGAGAAGGAACCAGCAAGAGGCATGGCGCTTAAGGGAACAGTAGAAGATGATGAAGATGAAATTAGCATGATTGCAAAAAGATTTGAGAGATCTCTTCGAGATCAAAGAAAGAATTTCAAAGGTAAGCATTTTAAAAACTATAAAAAATCTAACTCTAATTCTTCTTCTACAGGATGTTTCAAGTGTGGAGAAAAAGGACATCTTATTCGAGATTGTCCTAAGTGGAATGACAAACAGTCTAAATCCGGAGATAAACAAGCATACAAGAATGCCATGATAGCTTCCATGTGGGGAGACTCTGACTCAGGGTCAGATGAAGAAGAAGGATCACCCAACTCAGATGTTTGCCTAACTGCCTTTACAAACATCAAGGAAAACAACACTGGTCCAGGAACCAGAGGGGGAACCAGTACATTCAACAAATGCTTTATGGCAAAGAAGGATGTACTACATGAACGCAAGGTAAGCTTAGAGCAAATTAGAGAAGATATGCATGAATATGATAGAGAAAATATGCTTGCTTGTATTGATTCCTTACTAGATGAATGCTATAAATTAAGTGAAACATACATAATTTGCAAAAGAGAATTAAAAGAAAAAAGTGGTGAATGTAATATTGCTATTGCTAGCTGTGATCATCTAGAAGGAGTCTGTTATGAACTAAAAAATCAAGTAGCAGAACTAGAGGTTGAATTGGACAAGTGTAAAGTGGAACTAGAAAAGGAAAGATCGTTTGAACCAATTGATGATGAAGAGGATCTGACCTCCTGGTTCCCTAGAGACTTATCAACCACTAGTGATACTCTTGATTTTTCAGTAGCTATAAGTAAAGCAAATTCATGTACTAGAACTTCCTTGTTGAAGGCCTTTGAAACATTGGCTTACAACCTGGAAAATTCTCACAAGGAAATTGCTTCACTTAAAGCTGCACAGTTCACTGTTTCCCCTACAGGTACCAGTGTAGATGTCAGTAATATGATTGATAAGTATGAAAGTAATATTTGTGATTTGCATGCGGAAATCAATCAACTGAAAAAGGACAAGCAACCAGTGGTTGTTGACATGTCTATTGACCGTATGGTTTCAAAGCTTAATCTACAATTCGAAGCTTTAAAAAGTAACTTTGATTTTCTTAAAGAGAAAAACGAATTGTTGACTAAGACACTTGAAACCAGAGAAAAAGAACTTAATGATAGTCATAGACATGTGGACAAATTATTGAATGCTCAAAAATCCTTAAATTACCTGACTTTATCAAGAGGAAACAGAGGAAAAGTTGGTCTCGGTTATACTAGACAGAGAACCAGGACTAACTGGTCTCCCAGAGAAACCACCTGGATAAAAGAATATCAACGAGGTAAGTATGTCATGACTAAAGAGATGCACGTGTGTTTTCATTGTGGTAAGAATGGACATAAGATACATGAATGTCCAGCTAAGAAAATTAGTGCTAATAAGAACAGCAAGAGTGTAATGTATGTGTGGAGAAGAAAGGATCAACAAGATGTTAATGTTGTTGAAAAGGGACCCAAGTGTGTTTGGGTTCCTAAATCTAATGTTTGATTTGCTCTTGCAGGCTAGAGTGAAGGGAGACACCTATTGGTATTTGGACAGTGGTTGCTCAAGACACATGTCCGGGGATAAAGATCAATTCCTTTCACTAGTGGCCTTTGATGGAGGAAGTGTCACCTTTGGGGACAACAGCAAGGGAACCATCACTGGTTTAGGTAAGGTTGGTAAGACACTTTCTAACGCAATAGATGATGTTTATTATGTTGAAGGCTTGCAACATAATCTCTTGAGTATTTCTCAATTATGTGACAAAGGTAATAGAGTTGAGTTTCAAGCCAACCTATGTCACATAGTTAACTCACAAACAGGAGAACTTGTATGTGAGGGAACCAGGAAGCATGATGTTTACATCACCTTCTTAGATAAAATCCCTCAAGACAAGTCCATCT